GTAGAGGATTTATATTGTCATAAATGAACAAGGAATGAATCTTTGCTCCTAAAAAATCCAACAGTTTTTGTTTTTGCTTTTTCCTAACAAGGAACCAGATGCATTTTCTTGGTACCAGAGAAGGTCATGAACGTTGCAGTTACAGGTGGCAGGACTGACTGACCCCAGGAGAATGGGACAAATGGAGACCCAAGCAACAGCCAGCTGCTGAGGAGACAGCCCATCTCGGGGGCTTTGGGAAGATTTATCTCCGATCATTTAGTCCCAGGTAATGGTTGCCACTCTTGGGCCGTCACATGCTGCTGACAGGTTGGGCTCCCTGAACTGATGCTTTGGAGCTCAGCTGTGCAGCCGAGGCCCCATCCCTACACCACCAACCCCTCAATATGCCACGGGATGAGCTGGTTTGGCTGGAAACCCAGGCTGCCCTTCTGTTCCAGAGGAGTCAGAGGGCTGGATCAGGAGTGGTCTCCAAGATGCAGAAAGACAGGTGTTTCCAAAAAGCAGAGTGCAAACCCTGCTGGCCTCCCACTGAGGCCCCCTGCCCAGGGACAGAAGGCAGACGCATCCTTCAGAACACAGTCAGGCCCTCTTCCTTGACCTCTCCAGCCTCAGAAAACTCCTGAGTCCCTGGAAAGCTCCCACTCCGTGGCCTTCCTTCCCACACGCTGGCTCCCCTGCCAGGACTCTCATCCACGGCCTGCTCACCCAGGAACTGGGGATCCAGCTGGACTCTTGCCCATTCACCCCATTTACTCTTCAGTCCCTGGTCTCTGTGCCCAGCCTCCCACAGGGTGTGCCCCACCAGACATCTTGCCTTTGGAAGGTTTGAACAGAGGTGAGAATAGTGAATGAATGAATGAATGAATGGGCCCCCGCTGTGGTTTCCTGAACCATTCAGGGGAGGGAAAGAGTGCATTCTCTGAATGTGGAGACCTGGATACAGGCCTTGACTTTGCTGACCACAAATGGCTCTTGGGAGATAACCATTTCTGCCTTCCCCACTGGGCTGTTGTGGAGGTGGACTCAAATAGGAAGTTGGTGAGCAGCTCTAGAGGGACTGAGGGGTCCCTGGGGGGTGGGGAACCTGACACCAGACAGATGGGGCCTGGATCTCCAGTCTTGAAGGTGGCTGTGGAGCTGGAGTAGGGTCAAGGAACATGTCTTAAAGTCATTTCACATCGGGGCCGATTCTCAGCCCTGGTCCTGGCCCCATGCTGTAGATTTTCCTTGTGGTCACCTGGAACAGGGACAGGGGTAACAAGCCTCCAGGATGGTTCAGGCCTGAAGGTAGCAAAATAATCCAAGCTTGCTAGAATGTTGGGGTGGACACTACTACTTCTGCAGACAGCCACTTCTGTGGTGGTCAAGGATCTCCGGGTGCCGTCAGAGCCAGGGGTCCAGGACGAACGCGTGACGTCACTCTCCCCACCCCACTTCTGCAGGTATGTGACGGTCCCGGCCTCAGGGACACACCCAGAGGCATCTGACAATGGGAAAACTCTCCCAGGGAAGAGACCCCCCATCTGGGGAGGCAGTGGAAAGAACAGGTGGGAATAAGATCTGGATTCCAGTGTCGCCTCACCTAACTGCCTGTGGTTGTAGGCAACTCAAGCCATCAGGGCCTCTGTACAAACTATGAAAGAATTATCTACTTGGAAACCTTCTCCTGCCCTTCTCCAGAGTGGGGGAGACACCTCTCCACAGCGCCCCAGGACTCCAGACCTGTAGTGGCTGCTGTCTGCAGGGGTAGGGTATGGTGGGGCAGTTTGAAGGCTCTGGTTTGATGGAAAAAAGTCTGTGTGCTCAGCAGATGCCAGCCACTTCCCTCCTTCAGAGATTGTCCCCAGATATCATTAGAGTTGGCTTCTTTCAGAAAGTGAGGACACACAGCTGGACCAGGCACTGTGGAAAGAAAGCGGGGAGCTGGAAAGGTCTTTGGGCTCCGGGGCTCAGGGCTCCCCGCTGTGATCTGCTTCTGCAAGGTCTTGGATTTGAAAAGGACCAAAGAATGGATGAGGCCTTTAGGGACGGCTGTGGAGCCTTCTGCATTCTAAGGAATGACAGGCTTTCCAGGTGCAAAGGCACCTTCCTAATGATGGGACATCAGCAAAGGGAGGGACTCTCCTGGGGCACAGGTCCATGACTTGGGGTTCAGTTTGGGTTGCAACAGTTCTTTAGTGGAGCAGTGGTTCTCCACCTTGAGGACACACTGGTATAAATGGGGACTGACAGAAAATAGGGACAGATGTGAGGTTTAGATGGCACTGGGCTGTGGCGTGGGCTGGGCTTGAATACTGGAAAAGCTCTCCTGGCAGTGACTCAAGTAGTAAGGACTGAAAACCACCAGCTCTAGGAACAGTGCCATCAATTTCATCAACAGATGAGGAAACTGTGGCCTTGGAAGGCTGAATAACTTTCTCAAGGTCACATAGCCCTAGATATCAGAGCAAGGCCCACGTGCTCAACCCAGGCGTTGGTGAGCACGGATAAGCCTTCAGAACGAGGGCCATTCTGGCTCTTTCCTCCCATCCCCCAGCACTGTCCCCTGCACATGTCTGCTCCAGGACTGCTCAAGAACGGGGTGGCGGGGGAAGGAATCATAGAGGGGCCAGGAAAGCAGAAGCCTCCAGAGAGGAAGTAGGTGTTTGGGACCCCAGCCCTACCTCCGTCGCTTACTGATTGAGCCTCAGGAATGAGCAGCATGCCCAGCCCTGTTCAGAGGTGTGGGGCGCTTGTGAGGCTAGGGGACCTGCAGCCTCAGGAGATGGTGGATGGGGATTCAGTGAGTAAAGCCATGTCCCTGGGGCCAGCTGCCGGAGGTCTTCTTCCTGCTGCCTTTTTTGGTGACTGAAACCCTAGACTGATCTGGGAGCCAGACAAGCAGGCAGACAAGCACATTCTTTCCTCAGGCTGCCTCCTCTGCTGGGGGCAGGGAGTGGGGAAGGGCAGGGCCTGCCCAGGCCTGACCCCAGCCTGGGTTTCAGGCTGTGGGGCCCAGCATGGCTCCCTGGGGACCAGGGGGGTAGTGGTTAAGGAAAGCCCCAAAGGCTGTGTGTAGTCTGTGGTTTGGAGTCCTGTGACTCTGGGCGCTAAAGCCACCAAGCCGGAGGTGGTGGGAGGGGGCTGATTCAAGCCCACTTGGCTTAAGTCTCCAGCACTTGCTGTGGAATTCTGCCCTGATTCTGGGCAAATCCCTGCCTGTCCAACTTCAGATTCCCCAGCAAACGCCCCCCATCCTGGCACCACAGGTGTCAAAAGAGGACTGGAACGAAAAAGGCTGCTTTGAGTTTTCAAAACCCATCAAGAGCCCGGTTACTGATCGTGTGTCCATAAATGAAGTGGAAGGTGGGCATGATGCCTGCTGGGCCTCCTCCTACCGGCTTCTGTAGCTCTGGTCAACTTTTTCTTTGTAAGAATGTGTTCTTGGCATTCTCCCACGGGAACAGGGTTGGACAGGCCCCATTGCTCAGGAAGGTGGGAGGCGGCTTCCTTCCTCAGCCTCCCTCAGCCAGCAGGCAGGCAACCTTGACCCAGGCCTGTCATGGCCCTCCATTCTTTTCACAGGGTAAAGGAGGGCCATCTTATACACCATCTGGCCATAGAGTCACCTCTGGAGGAAAGGAGATTGGCCTTTTGGGGAGGTGGAAGGAATTTCGAGAACTCAAGTTCCTAGCCCTTCTATACCTCGGGTTTTCTCTGTACAAAGTGGAGATAACAGTCCACCCCAGAGCACTGCTGAGAGCACTGAGAAAAACCCATGTTGGGGTACATGGTGGGCGCTCAGCACTCAGCATGGGGAGCAGCATGCCTGAACGTGGCGACTCTGCCCACTGTCCTCTGTTCTCTAGCAATGACACCTGCGGGGTGATCCTCATGCCAGCCCACTTTAAGGAATAAAGGCCTCTCTAGGCCTCAGCTGGGCTTCCTGGGGCCCTGTTGAAGCTCTGAAAAAGGTACTAACCTGTGTGTCCTCATCCAGGTCCACTCTTCTGGTGGTGGGCGAGATCAGAGGACCACATCACACCCTGAAGATCTGTATCTGGGCTTTTGTCAGCACAGACGGGAGGGAGCAACGGTAGGCAGTTACGTGTGTCCACAGGAGTACATTCACCAATGGCTCTACGCCAGGCACCATTAAAGGTGCCTCAGAGGTCCCAACACACGTTCCTCCCAGGGCCTTGAAGAAGGCTTATCTTAAGCTTATTTTACTGATGGGGTAAACTCAAGTGTACAGGGACGTCAAATTCCAAGACACCAGGCTGGTCTCTGCCCAGTTGATGAGCAAAGAACTTCATAACGGGGATTTAGAGCCCTGAGAGGAAGTGGATGTGAGCAGAGACAGTAGCAGGAAACAGGCTGCTCCACGGGGTGGGGGTGGGGGGCTCTCTTCTGAGGGGATGTGTACTCAGGAATTACAGGGCTCTGACATTTTCTGACTGGGGTGACCACCCCTAAGTGCTGTATGGCACCTTTCTAAACAGAAGCCGGACCTCTCCCATTGAACGTGGACACGTGTTTTACTCAAGGTAGACTCTTGATTTTGGGGATGTAAGTCTGGTGTGAATTAGCAGAAAAAGAAATGTGTTACAACACTGGGCATGGTGACATCTGAGGAAGGGCTTCCTTGATGAGAACCTGGAGCTCTCCATGCCAGGAATGTTTCTGCTTCCTTCCTCCCAAGGATCAGCCACTCCCATGGCAGACGTGGGCAAGGCATCCCATGGCTTTCACCAGGGGAAACCCTAAGGCACCACGCTGGCTGGAGTGAAACTGGGAGTACCTGGTGCTGAGCATGTTGTCAGGCCATGCCACCTGCCCAGGACAGTGTGCTGAAGCTCTGAAGGAAAGGGAGAATGGAGTGAGCCAGGCAGCTGCCCGCCTACGGCCCCATGCCTGCCGCAGCAGGGCAGTGGGTTCCTGGCCCTTGTGAACACCACTTCTGAAGGTCCTCCCAGTACTGCTGCCGGATGTCGCAGTAAGAAGGCACCGTCCTCCAGTTCACTCGAGCAGACATTTATTGAGCACCTATCAAGTGCAAGGCACTGTGCTAGGTGCCACAGAAATACAAAGAGGGAGCACAGACGGTCCCTGCCCACGAGGAGCTCACAGTCTAGAGAGGGAAGTGACACAGTACACAGTCAGCTGCAGCAACACCAGCCAGAGCCACACGTGCTGGAAGCGAGACACAAAGTGCTGTGGGGCCACAGAACACCATGGGGCTGCTTCTAGTCAGAGAACGGGCAAGGATGGGCTTCCGAGGAGGAAGCCATCTGGAAGAAAGGCATTTCTAGCAGAGAAGAGGTACAACACAGGAGGAGCCCACAGGAACTGAGGAAATCTGTGTGGCTGGGTACAGTACACAAAATGGACAATCAAGTATGGCCAGAAGGCAGACAGTCATGAATTCTAGGCCCACGGGCTCTGAACTTGGTGCTCTGTTACAACATGGGAAATCACTGAAGAGTAAGAGGGTGGACAGAGGGGGGTTTCTGGAAGATAAACCCGGAACACTGTGCATTCTGGAGAGGGGGGAACTAAAGAGGTAGGCTGAGCAGTCAGGAACCAATGCCCTTGGAGACGGCTTGAGAGCGACTAATAGGCAGTGGTAAGCAGAGGGCAACCTCACAGGGCCCTCAGAGAGAGTGCATGGGGAAAGAGAAAGAACAACAGATGCAGGACAAGGGTCTAGGGAGTTTGAGGATTCCACAGGGCTGGTGACAGGATAAGAATAGCTACAGAAGGAGAGTGGAGTTACAGAATAGTGACCCCTAAGGGTGAATGCAGTTTCTCAAAATGTGATCCATAGACCACTTAAACAGGAATCATCAGGGTGTGCTCCTAAAGCAGTGGATTCCCAGGTTTTCCTCCACAGCCACTGAGTCCACACCTCGGGGTGGAGCCCAATAATCTGCACTTTTAACTTTCTTCAGTGCTGAGGATTGAACCCAGGGCCTTGTGCATGCTAGGAAAGCCTGATACCACTGAACTACATCTCCAGGCCCAATCTGCTTTTTCAAGGAGAGCCTCATAGGTGGCCCAAAGGTTGAGAATCACCTGTAAGACAAAGAGAACGTATTAAGGGTTGGTCTTTAGGTAAAAGAAAAGGAATGAAGACTGTCTAAAAAGGGAAAACGTGGAAAATAAGGCCAATGGTATCAGATGTTGGGTGGTTGAGTGTACATATCAAGATGAAGAACTGAGAAGAGGCCTCTGGACTTTCAATCTCGTAGCCCTGGAGGTTCTTCCTGGACTACTTTCGAGTGATGGGGCAGAAACGAAGTTTGCAACCCAGGATTAGAGAATGGGAAGTTGAGAGAAGCATCAACAAGGAATGTACATGACTCCTCAGACACTCCAGCTATTTATTTTAATCTAAAGGATCAGAAATACGTGGAGAATAATGGGGAGGTAGATAATAAAAAAAGAAGTTGGGGAAAAAAAAGAAATGGAGGTAAGCAGAGTAACTGAACAAATTAGGATTGTTCAGAGACACTGGAGGAACGCACAGGTGAGGATGAGGAAGCACTGATGAGAGATGGAGGTGAGATTCCCAATGGAAGACCACACTGCAGAAGTGAGGGGCGCAGGCTGGGATCCGAGGTGGGCTAGTGCCTGGAATGACTGCCCGCTTGGGGGGAGCCATGGGGCGTGTGGCAGGGGTCAGAAGAGCATTATGGAGAGCCTGGGTTTCCATGTGTACACCATTGAGTCCCCCTTCACATTCCACAAATGCCACAACAAGTCTACAAAAGTGACTCTATTCCAAAAGCTGCACCCTGGCAAGAGTCCCTGGCAACAGAGCTGAGCCTGTTCAACAATGCTGGCCCTTCACCAAGGATGGCCGATGCGCACTTGATACTCCTGACTGGCAGACTTTAGGGTCTCAACACATGCCATTTGATAGATTGTCTTTCTTTATTCCCAGAGATGGTATCTGGGGCCTAGGAGAAAATACAGGGTCAGGAATCAATCAGCTCCACCAGCTACTTGGGCTTTGACCTGGACAATCGCTCTGAGCGTCAGACACTTTGTGGGCTGAATAAGAGACATACTCTGCCCCACCAGCCACCTTGCATAAATGCCACGACACACAGAAGGCAGAGCCACTCCATGTAAAAGCAAGAAGGAATTACAATTACAAGGAAGTGCTCCTGCTGGCACTCCTAAAGTCACAGGTGGGAGAAATCTACACAGGAGGTAGAGCACCTACAAGTCTCTAAGCAACAGAACCCAGTTGAGAGGAAGTGGCTAACAGGTCATGAGCTTTCTTTAATGGTTTGATACTGGTTTTCTTAATGGGGTTTTAAATATTTAACTTAAATAAGCATGATTAATTTCAGAAAAACAAACATGAATTATATTTCATGTTATAATTTACAATATAATGCATTTCTGTACTCTTCCCACTTCCTCTTCTCCCCTCCCATATTCAAGAAAAGGAAAGAGGGTATGTAGATCTCTCAGAAACAATACTAAGTCCCTGTGGCAAACATCTATAATCCCAGCTATCAGGGAGATTGAGGCAGGAGAATCAAAAGTATGAGGACTGCCTGGGCAATTTAGCAAGACCGCTCTCAAAAAGAGCTGGGGATGTAGCTAAGTGGTACAGCACTTGCCTTGTGTGTTCGAGGCCCTGGGGGGCGGGGGGAGTCTGGGACAGTGGTACATGCCTATAATCCCAGCGACTCAGGATGCTGAGGCAGAAGGATCACAAGTTTGAAGCCATCCTCGACAACCTAGCAAGACCCTGTCTCAAAAACAAATAAGGACTGGGAATGTACATTGGTACAGAGTGCCTCTGGGTTATCTTCAGTATCCTCACCCACCCAAAAAGAAAAACCCAATACCAAGAACACAAAGGCTTACAGAACTCAAAGGTCAAGTTCAAATTGCTTCTAGAGCCTAGAAAATTCATGACCCTCTCAGCCTAGCCAACTCCACCTGACATTAGTGGAAGCTTAGCCCTGGCAATCGAGATGAGTCTCCTGTGTCACTTTCCTAACATGGAAGAGAAATAAAGGGGTTGGTGACATGTTGGACTAAATCCTGAGCCTGGAGGTAAGAGTCAACAGCTGGCCTCAGCCCTCCCACCTCTGCTGTGCTTCTGGAAACAACCAGCTGTGAAGCTGAGGCATAGGTGACTGTGACTAAAGTCACTTCCCTGGCTCACTTCAAGTCTCCTGCCTCTACTTCCACAGCTGGCTGAATCGGCAACCTGTCCAAAGTGACAGCTGACAACTACTTTTGCATTATGAGGCACTGTCAAGGCATCTGGGCAAAAACATAATTGAAATACAAGTCTGGCCACCTGGAGGGTTCTGGGTTCTTCTCTCGAAGAATGCCACCCAGGTCCCACACCATGAACACCAGCAGCAAGCCCTCAGCCACTATTTCTGGGTGGAAGAGAGACACGAGCTATAAGCTGGACATGAAACTGACTGAGAGCAGCCCAGGGAGAATGCAGATATAAGACAAAGCCCTTCGAAGGTCCAGTAATAGTAAAGATGTTAAGAATTATACCAGAAAGGAATTTCACTGACAATTTTGAGCGACACTGAAAACAGACAATACTAAGATAAATTAGCTCTGGGAAAGACTCACAGGAAGAGCTGCTAGCAGGATACCAAAGAGAAGAACACATAAAAATAAACTGAGGGGCTCTGGGCCCCACAGAGGCTACTAATGCTATTTATTGGCTGGGGTCATTCTCGAGAATAGAAACTTTTTTTGGCAAAGCTGTACAAACTCCACGTTCTTCCATGGTTAGGGCCAAAAGCTGGCCACAAATATTGGGTCCTTCAATAAACATCTCAGACCCTGGTGAGGTCTTCTGAGGCAAAGACAAGACTTCGAGAGCCAAGTAGGTATATGGAGGCCCAGGTGAGGTGAGTGTGTCACGGCGCTGGGTGAGCAGTCTGCCCCTGCCTGGCTGCTCTGTGGCAGTGGCTGTGGGCATGTCCTGACAGTGAGCACTCTGGGCCTCAGCTGCTTCCTCTGTAGGGTGGAAAGGGAAGAAAGGCGAGACCACACTAGCTCTCAAGCTTCTTCTAGCCCCAATATTCTGTGAGTCTAACTTTGCCCTGGTCATAAACAATGGCTAAGCACAAAGTGCCATCTAGTGGCACCACTTGTCCACTCTCACAAATGGCTCCGACAAAAGACCCCGTAGGAGGAAACCAACCCCAACTCCCAGGGGAGGGCAGAGGCGGCAGGAGAGGGGAGCACACTCCGTGTTAGTGGACAGGATATATTCACCTCAAGAAAATATACTTTAAGAGGTCTTGCTTTCCTTAAGAAAGCAACTCTTTTTATTTAGAAATGCTAATCATATCCATTTGTCAATATCTTTAGATTTAAGGAAAATAGTTTAAAAAACATAAAAATGTAAATACACTCAAGAGTAACTGCTATTAAACAGTTCTGAACAGGCAGAAAATGTAGACTTTCCTTTTACAGAAAATGTTAAATCTGTAATAGCAGCATAATTTATATATAGAAAAAAGCTGGTTTTGAAAACCCAGATTTTTTTATACACAAAACATCTTTTTTTTTCCTTTTCTTTTTTTCTCTTTCTCTATATACTACAACAATGTTTACACTGGGAAACAGGTTTTTTCACATTATGGTACTTCCCATCACGTATAACCATTAGCTCAAGTTTGATCCCTTGGCCATGAGCTCAAGCTTCTCAGCACAGTCTTCAATCTAACACCATGGCAGAGAGCGCATTTAGATCTTTCATGTATGGATGGGCTACCAAGATCTGGTCAATTTTCAGTCTTTGCTCAGAATCAGGAAAGATCTTCAGCAGGGCTTCCCTTAGCTCGCTGGTTTCTGCAGAAGACCTCTGTGCTGGCATGGGCAGGTTCTGCGGGACACTGGGCAGGTTTGGCAGGAGCGGAAAGTGGGACTGCTGAGGAAGCCAGTGGCTTGGAGAGGCTCCCTGAATCCGGCCTGGAGGCTGGTGGCTGGTGCTGGCTGCCTGGGTGCCAGGAATCCTGAAGCTGGGGTCAAACATGCCCACGTTCGGCAGGGCGTTGAGCAGGGGTTGCATATCTCTGTGAATGAAGTGAGTCTTGGTGAGAGTACTTACAACATAAACAAGAAACCCCTCTACAGCATGTGCTGCTGATCCAAACCCTGATCCTTAAGATGCCACTCTCTGCTTAATAGGGAAGATACCAGACTGCCATGGAGGCAGCGATATCAGCAACTACAGGGGAGCCTCGGGGATTTTCACTGATACCCATCTCTAGACTGGTAAGGACAGGGGATGAGCTAGATTCGTCCCAGGCCTGCTGTCTGAGGGCTGACCTTATCCACCTGTTTTGGCAGTAAACCAGTGTATTCGTGGGAGAATTTTTTAAAAAATAGGGACCACAGTGTCCTTCTATTCTGGAGAGTATGATTCTGAATTAGAAAAAGGAGCCCCTTTGGGTAGAAAGGTAGCTACCTCAGGCTCATGGTTCCCCCTCCCCACCAAATAACAGGTGAGGCACTATAATGGTGCCCACAACCTGATGCAGATGGATATGGGGGAATGTGGGGGTACAGAGAGGGCATCTGTATTGTTTCAAAATCTTCCACCTGACACTGGCTTGCAGTCTAGAAATGGGACTGGCTCAACAGTTTTCCTAATTTCAAAAACTCAAATAACTTAAAAAGTAGTCCCTTCAGGAAGGAAGAGACTATCAATTACTTACCACGTTTACAAAGAATCATTGGGTAAGAGATAAAAGGACACAATGAGGAAGCAGAGAGAACTCTCCCTCTGTTCCATCTGAACCACAGGCCCTGGACTCACACACAGGTCTTGGGGCAGGGGTTAGTGAGATGGGCTGACATGCAGCAGGTGTTGGAAATGGCTGCCATCCTCCTGTTGTGGGAAGAGTGCATGACCCTTGGGAACTAAGCCCTCATTTGCATAATAAAACCCAACACTCAAAGAGAAATGATCCATCAGGGGACTTAAACTGTGCTGGTCTCTGTAGAAGATAATACCTCTGTGTGAACTCCCTTAACCACTACCAAGTCCAAACCTGGAGCCCCAAAAGCTCATGTTATAAATGGCAAAGATCAGCTGTGAAGTTTTACTGGGAAAGCAGCCAGGTATGGTGATTCATGCCTGTAATCCCAGCAACTCAGGAGGCTGAGACAGGAGGATTTCAACTTTGAGGACAGTCTCAGCAACTTAGTGAAGACACTGTCTCAACATAAAAAATGAAAAGGGCTGAGAATGTAGCTCAGTGACAAAGTGTCCCTGGGTTTGACCCAATACCAAAACAAACAACAACAACAAAAACCAGGGAGAGCAGTGTTTTCCTCTCTAGAGACTTCCAGAAAACTCTTATGCAAACATCTGCTGGGAGATACACAGAAGAATAACTTATTTTGGTTTAAAAAGAAAAGAGGTCTGTCACCATATTATATGATCTGCCATTTAGGCCCATAAAAGACTGATTAACATCTGTTACCTGAGAATTCTGAAAACAGAAATAACCATTAGCACTACCAATCACTATTTTCCTTAAAAATAAAACCTAAACTTAACAAAACAAAAACAAAAAACAACCCTGAAACTACTAAACAATTTCAGAAAAATTTAATACTGGAGATGGTAAAGAGTAACTGTCAGTTCCCCCAGGTAGTGATTCTTGAACAGTAAATACATTAACATAAACATAATAAACTGACAGGAGGAGTTCAAGTTCAAGGTCAGCAACTTAAAATTTAAAAAAAAAAGAGTGACTGGGGAATATAGGACAAGGGTAAAGTGGCCTTGGGTTCTATCTCCAGTATCACAAAATAAAGATTATAATACCACTTTTACACTTCTAGTCTTTCAAAGAGAGCACTTGAATATCGCACAAAAAATTTAAATGAAATAAACTTTTAAACATAAGATAGACTAAATACCTAAGAAAGACCTCTTTCCGAAGAAATTCTTCTAATCGAGGTCCACTTCTTCCAAGAGGATCATCAGGAACCATAAATATGTCCCCCACGAATGTATACTGAAGCAATCTACAACACAGAAAAATCACACAATGAAAAAAAACACTAATTCTTTATGGCTACAGCATCTCAGATTATCTCAAAAGTTTTCACCCAACTGCAAAGGAATGATCAGCCTATAAATTCTAAGACTGCTTTACTGCCTTCAAAGGATAAAAACCTATACTCAAATTATACTATTTTAATTTCTATTTTGAACACAAATTCAGCAGTGCTAGAAATTTTGCAATTTAGATATTTCTCTGGGTTTGGGAAGCAGCTTCTTTTTCTAATATAACTTAGAGAAACAAGATGTAAAGACTTTGGACCCAGAAGGTGATCGACAAAGAGTTAACTTTTTAATGAAAATGGAAATACATGCATCCATAGGCAAACCTACTGTAAATAACCTTTTTTAAAACAATGCAATATATAAAGAAAATCTAGTCATTAAGCATTACTTACCAACTATGGGAAAGGACTGAAGATGTAGCTCAGTAGAAGAGTGCTTTTACCTATAATGTATTAGGCTCTGGGTTTAATTCCTAGACCACCAAAAAATAAACAAAATTAAGAGCCTATGTTTGTTGTCCAGATTTAGGTATTTATGTATGTTTGTATATGTGTGTATGTATATCCAGATCTCAGTTTCTGGTTTGCTTTTGCAAATTCTGAACAGAAGTTGTATTGAGTCTCATTTAAAGTTGCCAACAAGTAACAGGTGTGTCTAATACTGACAAGGAGCCCCAGGGCAAAGATCCTACAGAAACGTGTCCTAGAAGATTAATGTATGCTCATAAATTGCATAAAATGCTAAGGCTCATTCTTGGTTCAGTTATCACCAAAAGTTTTTTAACAGCATATGGGTCAAAATGCTATATACTCATTTATAGCAAAGCTTTTTCTAAAATCCTCTAATGATTTAGCAAAATATATCAGATTAGAGGCAACTGTGAAACTTCAATAGAGACAAATGTCTAGTTACACTACTTACCAGTTACATTTGGCTCGAGGTACATTCATCTCATGTCTTAAGATTTGTGGGCTATCTGACTTTATCCCTGGTATGAGAGCAGACTCTTGCCTTTTGTTCTAAGTAACTGGACAGAGGATGCATGTTAATAAAAAGTCTTGGAAGCTTCAGTCTGCTGGGTTTGTTTTTGGTTTTTATTTTGGTACAGGAATTGAACCTATGGGTGCTTTACCATTGAGCCACATCCCCAGCCTTTTTAATGTTTTATTTAGAGACTGGATCTTGCAGAGTTGCTTAGGGCCTTGCTAAGTTGCTGAGGTTGGCTTTGAACTCGTGATCCTCCTGCCTCAGCCTCTTAAGCTGCTGGGATTAGAGGCATGCGCCACCAAGCCCTGCAGTGTTTGCTGATCTCAAGGCAGTTTTCAGTAGTTGGACAATCACAGTATCAATACAAATGAAAAATTATAGCAGTGAATGCTAAATTCTTAACTTTGTTATTTTTATTTATGGATCTAAACATGTTTTTAGTATAGATGACTATAAAAAAGCTCTTGAAAAGCATCAGATATGAAAAGTAGAAATATTCTCCCCTATCCGTAAGAAGTAAAACCCCAATCAGTATATTGCTTTTGGTCCCATCCTCTTGCTGGAATCACAATATTTCAGAGGTGAGATCTCGGTTGTCATGAAATCCAACCTTTCACTTCACAGCTAAGTAACTGAGGAAGGCCTCATGGCCTGACAAATTCTGCCAAGGCAAGAGGGAAGTGCCCTTGTACTCCATCATGCCACAAAACTATACCTCATTTCATGCCTGAGAACACTGATCTCTCAGAGGACACCATGTGGACAAACACAGTGGGCCCTGACACACCACTCACTGGTTCTGAGGCTTTGAAAAGGGGGCCAACGACCTTGTAGACGGGGTATAGAAGAGTCTTTTGCAGGACCAATGTACACAGTGGACAGACAAAATGCAAACAAAAACAACAAACAATAACAAAAAACTTTTCTAACTAAAAACAAAGACGAAAATATTACCTTTTTGTAATAATTTCTCGCCAAGAGACTGACTCAGTCACAAATTCTCTGAAGTTATCATTTGTTACAATTATGCCACCAGTTTTGTCCGCTAAGTGTAGCAGAAACCTATGGTAATATAAGAGTTTAAAATGAGCAAACAGGCATCCCTGGCTTAGAGAAGCCATGTTATAAGAAAATAAAAAATTTCTTCTTAGGAAATGACCAAAGAATTCAACCAAGGCTAGAAAAGTTATGCCCCAGTCAACTGAAGATCAGTTAGAAATGAAGAACTGTAAAATTATTAGTGTTGTTATAAAAGAACTATTCTTCATAAAATCTAGTTTTAAAAAACAGTTTATACATTTTTCTAGAAAAATTATATTATCAATAAACAATGGTAATAAGAATGAACAAGAACCGGAGGAGAGAATGAATTAGAGGTGACAAGCCTGTGGAATCACTATTCAGCCTTTTAGCAAATAAGCTACAGTTTTTTGGTTCTAAGACTAGCTGCATGGTACAGTCTTGTATATATATATTTTTAAATTCAAAGGCTCCTATTTTGTGCTTTGATTTAAGAAAAAAGAACTAGCTAGACCTGCCATTCTACTTAGCCTACACTACAGAGTCATTCAAATGGAAGTTATGAAAAGATACACAATGATGAAAAAGAAACAATAAAGAAAATGCTGTTTCATTGCTGGAGATTACTCCTGTGGATCCTGTTAGCATACTTTTAAGGACAATGTAAATTTCATCTCTTAAGTCAGGATCACCACATATGTCTAAGGCAATGTAGACAAAGACAATGAAACAAACGGAATCACTGGAATTAAAGGTGCCAACTAACAATAATTGTTATTAGCAGTAATTATTCAAAGGGCACTAAAAAAAAAAAAAAGCCTCATCAGTTTCAGAGATCTTAAAAGACCTTGGAAATAAACATGATTTAGTTCTTTATTAATGAATATTTTACAAATTTTTTCTAACTGGCATGAATTTAAGTGGTGATATTTGTGTAGAGGTGTTAATAAAAGTAGGAACTAAGGCTTGAGTGAGTGTGCCACAAATCAGCACATGTATCCACGTCCTCCAAAACCCAGAGAACCATAGAAATCAAGCAAGAGCCTAGTCTGGGTGAGCTGGAAGACCTCAAGGCTTTTCCTGAATCCAGAAGCCCAACCTGTACACTCCAGAGCCCTGCCCCTCACACAGGGCTGAGCATCTAAACTTAATGGTCATGAATATTAAAATCCTCAAACCTGAGTCAAGCAACTCAAGTCCTTTGAGAGTGTGCATCTGTCCAAAGGAACAGGTGGCTGGTTCCTCACCACCCCACTCCCACCTTAGAAAGGAAAATGGCCTTTCATACCTGTCATCATGAGAAGCAATTCTTTCTCCAAACACCATCCGGGCAGGAGTTAAAGATAATATTCCAAGCTCCTGGAGCTGGGTTAAGAAGTGCTGCTCTGTTCATGGAATAAGTTAAACACACACTCAGAAAAAAGCTATTTTCCCAGATGTGTAAATAAATGGAAGTACATCCAAATGTTTCACTTGGAGAGTTTTAGAAAACCTTTCTATTGACTCAGTATTACTAACTTACTGGGAAGAATTAATGAAAATGAAAAAGCATCAAGCAAGACCCATACCAAGGCAAATGCAGCATATGAACTAGCTGTATTTTTAACAATAAAAAGGTTCAACTCTGTTCAGTTCCTTAGCCCATTTGTTAACTGTATTGTTTGGGGTTTTTTTGGTGTTAAGTTTTTTGAGTTCTTTATATTTCCCGGAGATTAGTGCTCTATCTGATGTGTGTGTGGTAAAAATTTGCTTCCATTCTGTAAGCTCTCTTCACCTCACTGATGGTTTCTTTTGCTAAGAAGCTTTTTAGTTTGAATCCATCCTATTTATTTATTCTTGATTTTATTTCTCATGCTATAGGCATCTTGTTAAGAAATTCAGGGCCTAATCTGACATGATGAAGATTTGGGCCTACTTTTTCTTCTATTAGGTGCAGGGTCTCTGGTCTAATTCCTAGGTCTTTGACCCACTTTAAGTTGAGTTTTGTGCATGGTAAGAGAGAGAGGGGCTTAATTTCATTTTGCTGCATATGGATTTCCAGTTTTCCCGGAACCATTTGTTGAAGAGGCTATCTTTTCTCCAATATATGTTTTTGGTGCCTTTGTCTAGTATGATATAACTGTATTTATATGGGTTTGTCTCTGTGTCCTCTATTCTGTACCATTGGTCTATTTTGGTGCCAATACCATGCAATTTTTGTTACTTTAGCTCTGTAGCATAGTTTAAGTTCTGGTATAGTGATGCTACCTGTTTTACTCTATTTACTGAGGATTGCTTTGGCTATTTTGGGTCTCTTATTTTTCCAGATGAATTTAATGATTGCTTTTTCTATTTCTATGAGGAATGCCACTGGGATTTTGATTGGAGTTGCATTAAATCTGTATAGTGCTTTTGGTAGTATGGTTATTTTGACAATATTAATTCTGCCTATTCAAGAATAAGGGAGATCTTTCTGTCTTCTAAGGTCTTCTTTAATTCCTCTCTTTACAATTCTGTAAATTGTTCATTGTAGAGGTCTTTCACCTCTCATTGATTCCCAAGTATTTTATTTTTTTGAGGCTATTGTAAATGGGGTAGTTTTCCTAGCTTCTCTTTCAGAGGATTTGTCACTGATGTACCGAAAACAAACAAACAATCCAATCAATAAATGGGCTAAGGAACTGAACAGACACTTCTCAGATGATATACAATTGATCAACAAATATATGAAAAAAATGTTCAATATCTCCAGCAATTACAGAAATGCAAATCAAAACTACTCTAAGATTTCATCTCATTCCAATCAGAATGGCAGCTATCACTAATACAAACAATAATAAGTGTTGGCAAGGATGTGGGGAAAAAGGCACACTCATACACTGTTGGTGGGACTGCAAACTGGTGCAACCAATATGAATAGCAGTATGGAGATTCCTTGGAAAACTTGGAATGGAACCACCATATGACCGAGGTATCGCACTCCTCAGTTTATACCCAAAGTACTCAAAAACAGCATACTACAGTGATGCAGCCACATGATTGTTTATAGCAGCACAATTCACAATAGCTAAATTGTAGAACCAACCTAGATGTCCTTCAATAGATATATAAATAAACTGTGGTCTATATACATAATGAAATATTACTCAATCATGCTAAGTGAAGTAAGCCAATCCCAAAAAACCAAAGGCTGAATGTTTTCTCTGATATGAGGATGCTGATCCATAATGGGGATGGGGGCAGGAAGCATGGGAGGAATGGAGGGTCTTTAGACAGGGCAAAACAGAGGGAGGGAAAGGGAGGGGGCAGAGGGGCAGGAAAGATGGTGGGATGAAATGGACATCATTACCCTAGGTACATGTGTGAAGACACGAATGGTGTGACTCTATTTTGTGTACCACTAAAGAAATGAAAAATTGTGCTCCATATGTATACTATGAATTGAAATGCATTCTGCTGTGGTGTATAACAAATTAGAATAAGTAGATTTTTTTAAAAACAGGTTCAACTCATTTGTGTTTTAGGAGTAAGCCATACATCTACAGTTGTCTGTACAAATATTTACGGATATTTATGGGTGTGGGTGATGACAAACGAGAACTAGGGGCCAAAGCCACATTTCAGACAACCAGAATTCTCATACCCGCGGTCCCCTAATAATACTCATCACTGACTTAACTAAAATTCATACAATGTATTTGATTGTCTTGGAAGTGTACATATATAAGAATTATTAAGACTCTTTCAGAGATCCAAGTTTCAAAAATAGCTACAAAATGAGTGGATCTGTTTTGTTCTTCATGTACCTTCTGCTAGGAAAAATGCTCTCCAAAATGAAGGAAGTTGGGAGTACCTGGGAAATGTGCAGTTTGACCACTTCCCACTTCACTAGTGACCCAAAGTCTCACTTCCTGCTTAGTGTGTTGGACAAATTCTATATTCACCCCAATCCCAATCTACCTTTTCTAAGTGCTCTAACATGTTAAGCTGTCTGGCAAAGCTTTTTCACTTGTCTTCCTATCATGACCTAAGACACAAACAACTGTTAAGTTTCTCTGGAATAATTTCATAAATCATAACAGGTTCCAACCTTTTGTGTGTGGTCTGCACAAAGTACTATATGGCTAATGATTTATATTAAAGTATTACTGTTGAAAAGACATTATATTTTAAAGTGCCAAACTTATCAAGTGGCCATTTATTAAAAAATGCTATTTAAATAGTCAGAAATCTGGCCTAATAGAGGGCATATTTTCATTTTCAGAATGTCAAAAGAAAATTTTTGTGATGTACAATAAATTCTAATGTATCTTTCAAATAATCATATGAACTTTTGCATCTTTCCTTCAATTACTTCTTATACTGTTGTACTCTTCAACTGATATCTTACTAGATGGAAGAGACTTAGAATTTTGTTGTTAAAAGATCCTGCCACAATATATGGCTCTAAGTACTATGTGTTGCAATTCTAAGCCAACTCATTAAAAATTTCTAATTAGAAATTTGGAAAAATTGGTTTGACTCACCTGTGACATTAGGATCACGCCTTGTTCTCCACTGAGGAACAAACACAGTAATGTTTCGGTTGCCAAGCTTCCAAAAATATTCAACAGCAATTGCAATTCCACGACAAGAGAAAAACTTTTTTAGACCATGGCTGTAAGAAAAATTTATTTAAAAATTTATTTCAGTTTAACATGTTCAAAATGTAATGAAGAATCTTAAATTTCACAGACATGTAAAGCTATGGCAACCACAGAAGTAGAATCTTCTGAAGATTCTGTTGAACAGCCAGTATTAACCTCTTAAAGCATACATTAGTAACTAGGCACAAAATCTATAATTTGTTAGGTCCTCAGAGATTGTTAGTACATCATTTAACCTGCTCTTCACACCAAAGGCAAAACTTTCTGGTAAAGTAATACTTTAAATTTTCAAAAAGCCATTCCCAAAGAGAGAACTACTGGTAGCGTTCCTTCTCACATGTGATCCAGTGCAGGAAGTGTAGTAGTTTCAGTCCTGTTTTCCTTTTCCTTTTTCCAGTTTCCTAATCCCGATTATATAAAACATAATTTGTGAATTTGATATTCACAGAATTGTGCCATTAATACATTAATGGAAATGTATATGTCAAACACTTAGCTGTTTATTGACACGAGACTGGTTAAAAAAACACAGGTATATCCATGTGTTTCTTATGCGTATGTTTGAAGCTAGTGAACTGTTTGTCACAATATATTTTTGTGGTATGTAAAATGCAGCTAGCTTATATAACTTAAAATTTGGTATGAGTTTATTCATGCCTTATCTCTCACTTTTTGAGTAAATGAAAAATTTGGGAGTTTGAAAATGTCAACTTCATAAATAAAAGAACAAAATTCCCTGTAATGATCTTTTACCATGGGGGAAGGGGTCAGTGGCAGAGCCTACTACTTCACAAAACCAAAAGAGACTCCACTGAAGGAGTTCTGTCACTCAATATGATAGTCTTATGGTTTTCCTTGTATTTTGGTTGATTTAATGGATGTGCTGTTTTGGTATAAGGTAATGAGCTTCATGATAAATTTGTTAGTTAATGCAGTTTTTTTTCCCCCTTTAACCCAGTATCTGGGGATCACGAGTTCAAAGTCAGGCTCAGCAACCTAGCAAGGCCCTAAGCAACTAAGTGAGACCCTGTCTCTAAATAAAATGCAAAACAGGGCAGGGGATGTGGCTCAGTGGTCGAGTGCCCTGAGTTGAATCCTTGGTAATCGCCACCCAACTCCCCCCCTCCCCCAAAAAAGAGTTCATCCTACTAGGGGGAAAACATTAGTATTTTAAAATTCTGCCTAGTCACTGGCCTCCAAGAATCTCTAAGAATCTTAAAATTTGTTGCTAAAGCAGAAATTAGTTTAGTAGCTATGATGTTTATATCCCATGCCTGCCTGTGACAGAAGAATAGTTTAAGATTTGATATTGTGACAAGATGATCACTATCACAATGACCAAGGAGCTGCCATCACCAGCTGGACTCCAGCCCCTTTGGGAGAACTGTAAAATCTACCCAATTTAAAACTTACAACAACTTTTTTTGGGGGGTGGGGGACATATTGGGAATTCAACCAGATGCTTTACCACTGAGCTATATCCCCAGTCATATTTTTTTTATTTTAAGACACGGCAGAACTTACGGGAAATAATTTAAGGGCAAGAATCAAATGAAACTAATAGAACCCTTGAAGGAAGCAGAAAAAAGGGAAAATGGGTAAACATACAAGAACAGGCCAACAGACTTTTTTCTGTGAAGGTCAATATGATCTGTCTCACCACTCAACTCTGCCAGAAAAGTGTGAAAGCAACCACAGGCAAATAGTTGTCAATGAGCCCAGTGTGGCTGTGTTCCACATTCACAAAAGCAGGAGGGGGCTGATTTCACCAACAGTGTGTGAACCTTGGCATAGAAGATTTAAAAAAAAATGCATCCCCTCAAATCAATCTAGTAACACTCTGAAAGAAGAAAAACTACTTAAGTCTTACTCTTAGGCAGTTACGTGGTAGAGGGAGAGGAGAAGGAAGAGTGCTTCCTTCTACATAAATCCTGCCTGGCTTGGCTTTGGGGGTCCCCTCTTCATCTTACTAGTTAGAAGGGATCTGGCCAAAGTTATTCTCCCAAATCAATGAGCCGATATATTCTTGGTCTGGTCAGGTGGTCTCTTGTTATTCCATTCCTCCTGATGCCTGACCTCTGAGCTCCCTCCTCCCACCCCCCTTTTTAGTATTTTTTTAGGCAAGTACTCTGCCTCTGAGCCACAATCCCAGCCCCCCCCCCACCCCGTTTTTTGGTAACAGGAATTGAACTGACGGGCGCTTGGTCACTGAGTCACATCCCCAGCCCTCTTTTGTATTTTATTTAGAGGCTTTTGCTGAGGCTGGCTTTGAACTCGAAATCCTCTTGCCTCGGCCTCTTGAGCACTGGGATTACAGACATATGCCACTGGGCCTGGCTGAGCTTTCCTGTTTGTTGCTTGCTTTGTGTGCAATGCTCTTGAATCTTCCTTGCCTACTCTATCCCAGTCCTCCTATGAAGCTGTCTCTAGACACAAGTCCCCAATCAGATCCTTCCTCTCCTCTCACTTCCTCCCCTGCTCTGCAACAGAATCAGAGATGGAGTAAAATTTAGATTCTCTATTAGAGATAAGAAGATAACCCTGACAGACAGCATGATCTGCCTGGGTTACCCTGCCAGAGGGTGGATATGCTAGATCTCACCCGCTGGCTTCCTCACACCTGGCCAGTCAGTCCTTTTCCCTTCCCATTACTGCACATGGAGGTGTCACTTCAACTGCACCTCTAACACCTGAGAGGAGGCATGGGCTGAACACTCAACCAACAGCTAAGGTGGGGAGAGATTCAGAAGAGTTGCTCACAAACTTCTCTTTTTAGAGGCTGGAGTTTACTTTCTTTTTCAGGGAATCATATATACAGATGATAGAGGCTCTTATCCAAACACAATTGCAAGTAAACAAACTCATTCTTAATAAAATAATTCAGGAGTGGGTGGCTTATCTAAAGGCATTCAAATATGGCAAGGATACAGCAACATGACATGTGGTGGTGGGGGGGAATGGGAGAACGTGTATTGTTTTTAAAGGGCACCCTTTTTTATTAGCAAGGACAGGCCTGTAGTTAATGCTATTTAGCTCTAACATAAAAATCTAAAATACAACAACCAAAGGGTCCATGTTTATCCCTAAAAAGGCTAACCCTTGACGGAAATGTACTAAAAAGCTAGGAGTGGTGGTGGTACGCACCTGGAATCCCAGTGACTCGACTCTGGAGGCTGAGGCAGAAAGACTGCCAAATCTGAGGCCAACCTCAGCAGTGTAGTAAGATCCTGTCTCAAGATTAAAAATAAAAAGAGTTGGGGATATAGCTCAAGTGGTAAAGTGCTCCTATATTCAATCCCCAGTACACCCCCAGCCCCCACAAAAGGGAACCTCACAGAGGTGGATGCAGTGGCACATGCCTGTAATCTCAGCTGTTCAGGAAGTTGAGGCAGAAGAATCACAAGTTTGAGGCCAGCCTGGGCAATTTAGTGAGACCTTGTTCTCAAAAGTTTAAAAAAAGGATTGGGGATGTAGCTCAGTAGATGGCTTGCCTAGCATACATGAGGCTCTGGGTTCAACCCCCAATCCGGGGGCGTTGGGGAACTTGTAAAGTACCTCTTTTTCAATAGACAGAAATGTATATACTACCAGCTTTTCATATAATGATTCTGCTTGACAACTGTAGAAATTGAATGGATTGAAATAGCATTCCACTGAGTCAAGTTGGGGATACAGATAAAGGAATGCTGTTGCCCTGTACCCCTCACAAACACAAGCTGGGGGGGAGGGGATAAAGTTCTTGGAAACATTAGATCAGCTCTGATTTCCAGTGATGTTTTTTGTAAAAAGATCAAATCATTTTTGCTACTCTGAAAAATCTCCAGAGCTGGAGGAATACTGCTTCTAAATTATGGCAAAGAAATAACAGATATGCCCCAAAAATAAAACTACAGGGAAAAAAGAAAAAATGTCAAGTGGAGATAAATTGTTGTCCTGAAAATATTACCAAAAGCCCCATCAGGAATCTTTCCTAGTTCCAATTCCAACATCTGGACTAAGCAGATGTGTTTAATCCTCACTGCCTTTCAACCTCTCTGCACTGACATGGAAAGGCTCATTGTTGGAAGGTAAGCCCAGACCAAGGGTTTGCCTTGACCTAGAGACAAGCATATATTTAACATACATAGTATACTTTGGGGAAGACCAAAACTATGGGGTTCCCAGCTCCAAGTGCAGAATGAACAGCGCTTTTGTTTGGAAGGCAGATAGACAGGCTCTCAAGGAGATTTGAATTCCCATCCCATGTCACCGGAAACAAACTGTGTCTTTTGGTTGTTTTCCATATTAGAGTAGAGAGTCAAAGGAAGTGTGTCCAAAGCATGAGAGATGGGAGACAGAAAAAATCACAACAGTGATAGAAGCAGACAGGGGAGTATCAGAAAACAGTGCAAAGTTCTTTCTCAGTTATCCAGGAAAGAGTTATTTCCTTCTATAGCTCCCACTTAACAAAGATAACCTTGAAACCCAATATTGAAAGATGAGCATTAAAAAAGGCTTTAAAAAAAAAGCATAGTTCTAACAACTGAGGGGGGGCAAGCTTCATCTACATGGAAAATTATCAACTCAGACAAGTCAGGTGCTCTTATGCTGAAGTTTCGGGTTGACAGAGTCCAAATGTTCCTTGCCACTACTGTGATATCTAGCCATATACCGCAAACAGTTTCCACTGACTCATCATTTGACTCATTCATGGTGACAAGGGGGAAAAATTAGTAAAGATATACATAATCAGCAGCATTAAGTAGGGTATTTTGGAATTTCTCACTGGTTTTTATGGGCCGGAGACATCATGCTGGCTAACTAATTAAACAAAGGCTTTGCAGAAACCCAGGGAAGAGTGGGCCTGAGCTCCTTTCAGGTGGAGTTTATACCAACAGAGCCTATTGCCTAAGGACTTAAATTTCCTTTTTTTTTTTTTTTTAAAAAAAAAAAAACTACTTCCTCAACTAGTTAGGTCAAATAAGTATGGTTTATTTAGCAGTGGTTACACAAACTCACAACTTAAGTCTCCAATGATGCCAAGCCTGAAAATTCTAACCTCAACTTCTGTGAGAGGAGACAGGGCTGCTCTGAGCAGAAACATATCATGTATATAGCCCTGGACAAGCTTTTTGAACTATTTCACATTATATAAGTTACAGATCATTTTTGCCTCATAAAACTGATAATTGCATTAAAAATGTAATACCAGACATTAATTATCATTATATTTACTTAATTAACTAATGGCCTCAGTTAAAATTTGATCTAAATTGATCATTAGAATGGTCATGTTTTTCCAACTTAATTTACTGAGATAAATCTGATTAAAAATTCAATTATAGAAAACAATCATTTGAAAGTGAGCAATTCAATGGCATTAACAATTCTGTGTCACCACCACTTATACCAAGTTCTAAAATATTTCCTCAAAAATAAAACCCAATGCCCATTAAGAGTTTCCCATAAAAAGGGTTAATTTTAATTACTGATATTTTCAGATCAATCTATATCCAACTAAGTGTAACTATGGGCATCACATCCTTTTTTAAAAGCATTGCTTTTAAATTAAGACATTTACGAGTTCAAAGAAAATTCAAACTCTTCCAAAATAATCAGTTTTCAGAGAGAATTAATGAAAGCTTGCAGGTTTCCCTTACTGCACTGATTGGTGGTTTTCAAAGGAGATTTGGCACTGTGCTCAAGGATGATAGGAAATATGTGCTAGTGTTTTGGGGTTTCACAATAACCAGAGAGGGGGCACTATGAACAAAATAGGAGGGATCAGATACACAATATCAGATGGTACCACCGTAAATTCCAATAGTGATCCCTTAGAGAAACAGGCTACTTATTCCTCCAGAACGTTTTTAGAAGCAACTGCTTAGTCTATGTTAATTTGCATTCTTTTTTTGAACATCAATTTGGGAAATCTTTCCACATATAGAAAAAAGTTTCTGAAAAAAGGGTTAGTATTAGTCACAGCGATGACTTAAAATTTTTATCATCACATGGCTCAAGAAATCCTAACCAAAAAAGAAAGAAATCCTTACAATGAGGAACTGGTGCTGAGCCTGAAACTCCATTTTAGATTTTTATTTAGATAATGCTAGGCAGCTGTGGGTCATTTACTGGGTTCCCCCAAAATAGTTGCCAAAAAAAAAAAAAAAAAAACAACAATGAAAACTGACAATAAATAGTATTATTTAGAGAGGAAGACAAGTATATTACATATTTTTATGGCCAATCTTCAAACTTTAATATATGAACTGCTGGCATTTTCCTTTATTCTTTGGACAGCAAAGACAACACCAACAATTCATTCAAACAAATAAAAAGCAGCTGCAGCAGGCAAGGTGGTACATGCCTGTAATCCCAGCTACTTGGGAGGCTGAGGCAAGAGGACTGCAAATTCAAGTCTTGGCAACTTAACAAAACCCTGTCTCAAAATCAAAAATAAAAAGGGCTGAGGATGTAGCTCAAGGGTAAAGTGCCCCTGGATTCAATCCCCAGGACCAAAATAACTGAGTGAATAAATAAAAATAAAATAAAAAGCAGCTTGATGTTGTGGTGCTCACTTGTAATCCCAGTTTTACAGGAGTTTAGGGTATGAGGATTTAAAGTTAGAAGCCAGCCTGGGCAACTTAGTAAAAACCTGTCTCAAAATAAAATAACAACAACAACAACATACTAAAGACCTTCCATGGGACTCCAGGCTTGCCAGGGGACTGGAGGACTGGCTGGATGCAATGAGCAAGCCTGAAGAAGCTGGCGGCAGGGTTCTGGGAGGTGGGAATCAAGTTGAGCCTCACCTACACCTGCTCTCCCCACTGCTTTTTTACAGCCACAGATCCACACTACTCCATGGCTGTGGGCCTCAACCTGAGCCACAAGGCAACCAAGAACATGAGCAGGCAGAGACAAGCTGCCACAGTGGACACTTTGCCAAACACACCAAGTTGGTGTGAGACGTGACCAAAGAGGCGTGTGGCTATGCCCTACAAGAGCAGTGTGCTTCGGAGCTTCTCAAGATGCCCAAGGGCAAACGAGCCCTCAAGCTCATCAAGAAGAGGGCAGGGATACAGATCTGTACTAACAGGAAATGAGAGGAGGTGACCTCACCACCCTAAGAAAAACAGCTGCCAAGAAGAACTACACCCCTCTCCCCTCTTTGTGTAATAAAACCTTTACAGAAAACATTCAGAACAAGAGCAACAACAACAAATACGAAAATATTTCTGGATGAAATGAGGGCTGAAGAGTAGCTCAGGAGTAGAGCACCTGCCTTGCAAGCACTGCAATAAACAAGCAAACAAACAACATGGGTGTAAGGCAGTAGGAGAGAGTACAGATAAAACAAAAATTACAAACATATAATAAACGTCAATAATTTTAATTTTTCAATTTCAATAGGTATTTCTAAAATTTCAGGACATTAATTGAACTTTTAGAACTCCTGGGATAAGGGGTCACAAATTCAACAATGCATAAAAAGTATATTTAAGATCTGGCAACCTTTCCCTCATTCCATGTGCAGACGTTCTATGTCTTGAATGGTGGCTTCCTAAAATGCTAGACATTGAAGGTCCCTATAAATTTGCCCCCAGGTGCCCCTGATTTTTGAATTCATACATGTAGTGAACCACAACCCAGATCTACAAAATAAACCCCAACCTAGCTGAAGAGTACATTCATGTGACAGACAAGTCTCAGTTAATCGCAGCAGCTGAATTTTAGCCAACCACAGGCTGCCAACTGATCTGATCATGTCCACATAAGGCAACTGTCTCATCACACCATTCCCAAATAAGGCAAATGTAGAGCTACAATCAAAATTGTTTCTGTATATCACTTCCCTTTTTCTGCTTGTAAATCCTGCTGATAGCTGAAGCTCTCTGAACTTCTGGTTATGAATGCTGCCCAATTCATGAATCAAATCTTTGCTAAAATTAATTCTCCAAATTTACTTTTACTAAAGCTTATGATAATGGGGTGAGAGTACTACACTGGAGAGAAAGTACCTAGCAAGTTGAAATGGCATGATAAAGATGTCCTTAAGGGCAGGTGAAAAGACAACAGATTTGAAGCAAATAAAGCTCAGAAGTACTGAGTGACCTGACCAAAATTAAACAGCTCCAAGGTGGGGTGGAGACTCTGACCCTCATATTCTTCTTAGGCACTATGCTAAAATGTCCCTTGGAGAAACAGCCTAATCTTACAGTAATAAAACCAGAATCCTAACAGGAGATCCAAGACAAGCTAAATAGACATGATCATTCCACATTTTTTTTTGTTTTAAATAAAAACAAATATTACAAACTTTTAGGAAGAACACAGCACATAATGAAGCTCAAACTAATTTCCTTAAGAAGGAAACTATCAAAAGTGCAATAGAAATATATCACACCTATTACCACTGTATACTTTTGGTTAGTGACAAAGCATATTCTAGCATAAATAGAAAAACTTTTTTTTTTTTGGCTCCACACTTGTATTCAGAACCTAACGGCACTCATAGGACTGATAATATAACAAAAAACTCTCTAGACTGCATTATCATTAGGCAATACAGTGTAAATTTTCTAACATTTCCTGCCCATAGGAATGTAAGTTTAGGAGGGCGAAATGTAAAGTTCATGACTCTAGAAGACGAAATGATGAAACCTTTCCAACTGGTTATTGGAGATTCACCTCAGATTCACTAGACACATGCATAGGGTTTCTATATACATGTATGTAATTCCAAGACACTACTTAGAGTACTATGTAAAACTATAAAATAATTTGCAGATAAGAGGACTTACGTAATTGCAACATTGCTTCCATCTATAACAATATGCTTCAAGTCCATTCTCCCTGGTTCGTTTTTTAATTCCAGCTTGTAGGGTACTTTCAGAGTATCTCGAAACCTTTGAACCCCTGTAACTGAGGAATCAATATGATCAGAAGGTCCTGCCAATCTTGCATCAGTAACTGAAGGTAATAGCTGCGGCAGCGGCATTGGTGGAGAAAGGGGTGGACAATTTGGCTTAGACTGAGGAGAGCTACAATGTCCTGGATGTTTTTCACAGGCAGATTTCATATTATTTGAAAGCAAGGGTTCTGCCTGCTGTTGAAAACCATTTTCAGGAAAAACTGGAATTCTGGGCTGGTGACTTGAAGCTCCCCTTGAAACAAAATTGACGTCTTTGGGACTTGAAGGAGCAGAGGGTAAACGGCCATCAGTTTCAAGGTCTATATTACAAACATAGTTCTGGTTTGAACCCCAGATTTCACGTTTCTGTTCTATTGGCACTGTTCTGAAGGTATTAATTTTGCAATTTGAGGTACAAGGCTTACCTTCTACTTTGAATGGTAACTGAGAAAATTTTTCTACCGTATTTTGCTGAGTGTGACTCTGTGTTTTCTTTGGAGTGGAATCTGTTGTGAGCTCATTAATGCTGCTACAAACACCTTTACTTTTGGTTTTGTTGGTGTCTGTAGTACTAGGTGAAAATTCTCTGTTTTCTTGAAACCTTTTATTTTCTTTTTCAATTTCCTCCAAGAGCAATAATGGTTCAGTAGAAGGCCCAAACTCCCTAATGACCTTTTCAACAATTTCTTGAGAATAGCCCATGGTTTTAAAAAAGTTTACAAGGATATTGTATTCCATTTCCTCAGTAGTGTCTTTTACATCTGGACTTAAATTTTCAGAATCAGTAGAAGAATCAGATAGGTCAATGATTACACTTCCAGAGGATGTCTTATCATCGTGTAAAAGTTCTCCTTCTTGAACATTTTCTAAAGAAAATTGCTTCTTGGTATGCCTTTCCTCAGAATCAGAAAATCTCCTTTTGTGACAAATTCTCTCTTTGGAAAGTGCCTCTTCATCTGGGCTTAGGCCATTTACAGGAACAAAAAGCACATCTGGTGAACTAGAAAAGACAGTGTCCATTTGTTTTGTAAGCTCAGAAACAGGAGTCCCAGCTTTATTTCTTTCATCTTCCTGCAAAACAATTTCATCTCTAGAAATATTCAGTCCCGTGGCAGCATTCTGTGTAAACTCTGTATGTTGAGCATCTCTAATTTCAATAACATTATCATCTCCTGTTTTAAATAGATTTTCCTCACCTTGTGTGAGAGTCAAAAGTTCTTTTTTTAAGGAAGTGGGCAAAATCAACAAATCCATTGTAAAATTATCTGCATGGGCTTCAACAAATTGTTTAAATTCCCTTTTCACCTCTGATTCTTTCTGAGTACTGGGTAGGTTCTCATTATTCTCAAAGAGCTTTACAAATTGCTGAATGTGACTCCTGGCCATAACTACAGCCTCAGCACTTCCTCTGATGCCAAGAAGACCAATATCAAGAACACAGAGGTCAGCACAAGTATCCTGAATCAAGCTCTTCAGAAACAGGCTCTGTGCCCCAACAAAAATGCAGTGCATGGCCTTGGGATAATATTCTCTTTCTTCTAGTTCAGGTTCACAGATTCCTTTGATATATTCCTATAAAGAGAAGAAAAGAAATTAGATCAATTTACAAGAGCTCCTCAACAGCACATATTAAGTTACATGTATACTAACAAATGTTAATGTGACTTCACAAAACATCATAAATATGTTTATAATTTTGGGGAAAATATTACAGTTTCCATAAAATGAGATTAACATATATAAACCATTTAATCAACTTTGGAGGAAATGAGAATTTTGCATCTATATCTAAGAGTCAGGAAACAATTTTAAACAATTTAAAACAACTTTAAACGTTTTAATTGTGTGTTTTGCAGTATGATCTTAGGAATTTGTCTAAATGGATAATCCAGAAGCTAGATTTACTTAGAGAACAAACATATTTGCCTGTTACCAGTCATTTATTACTACAAGGACATAATCAAGAGATTACATAATAAAGTCAAATGATTTATTAGAGAACAAATTTTGACTTTTGCATTGCTAGCATTACTCCCAGTTTCCAGATGAAACAAACACTATTACCCTTTGTTTCCAGATTTCTTGAAGGTATTCAGAAAAAACATGATTAATTTAACAAAAATCATTTCTTCCAGCTGCTTAGAATAATCTATACCCTATATAATTTTATGTCTGTTTTCTAAGAAAGGCCAAACTTTAAATCTAAAAACAAATCACCAGAAAATGCTAAAACATAATGTTATTCTCAGATACTGGTACTGAAGGAGACCTAAACAAGGTAGGCACGTGAACTGGGTTTCTCAGCCATCAGTTGCTATGAAGGTAGAAGAGTGAATCAAGTGAGCAAACACACACGGAGAGCGAAACACATTTGTGTATACAGCCAACTTTTGTTCTGCAGTTCATGTTTTGGTCTTAAATTCCAGCAATAAACCCACTATTGATCTTGCTCAAGTCACCTAACTTATGCCCAATTTCTTCAAATGTAAAAGAGACAAGAATAGCAATCATAGGGGGTTTGCAGACTTCAAATAAATAATGAATATAAAGTCTTAATACTATACTTCACACATAGTAAATGCTTACTAAATACTTACATTATCAATGAAAATTTTCTGGAACTGATATTTGTGAGAATAAGCATAGCACCATAACTAATCCATACTTCAGGTACAATCAGAATGGCTTTACTAAGCTAAGTACCTATAATTACAGTGACTGGGGAGGCTGAGGCAAAAGGATGGCCAAGTTTGAGGCCAGTCTCAGCAATGTGGTGAGATCCTGTCTCAAAATAAAAAGTAAAAAGGGCTGAGAATGTAGCACTCCCGACTTCAATTCCCAGTCTGTCTTTCCCTTTCACACACACAGAGAGCATTACCCCAAATAGTAAAAAGTCTCACATGTGTATCACCTGTCAGAAAGAGGTTTGTTTACCATAAACTTGATGTTGTCACACATTATCTTATATTTAGAACTTATATTCAAATATGAGTGCACATTCTTTGTGCATCTATTATTTAAAACCATGAAATTCCTATGAGTAGATGAAAAACTACAGAGGAGAAGCTTGAACTAAGTGTTATGATGTTCAGTTGGGTTCTTTGCTCCCTCACATCTCTTGAATGTGCCTGGACAGAGAAGCCATTTTTAAAAGCAAAATTTGCTATTTTTGTTAACATAGCGATTTTGTTAAACCAAGGTATAACAACTTATCATGCTTTCCTACTGAATGCTCAAACACAGTGTTAAATACTGGTGTAAGTATCCTTGAAAGATTTCCAAATAGGCAACATTTGGCTAGTACATGTTTGTACTTATGCTGTATTCAGGTTGAAGGGTAATTAAAAAAAAATTTTTTTAAACAAATAATAGGTAGTACACACTTCCTTGGGTACTCTTCTAAGTTTCATCTAGTTTCCTCTAACCACTTCATCTTATGTAAGGATGATAGACTATCAAAAGCAAGCATCTACATTGATACCATGCCATTTTATCACATGAATAGCTTTAAAACTACCATCTCAATGGATTCAGAATTATTCCATTACCCAAAAGATTTCCTTCATGTTACCCCTTTACAGTCACCTTTATGTTTTATTCCCTGACACCTTCTAATCTATTTTCACCTCTATAATTTTGTGGCCTCATGAATGTTACATAAATGGAATTATGCAATATGTGGCTTCTGACAGTTTTTATGTGGACTCAGGTTTTCAATTTTATGGGACAAGTACTTAGGAGTACAACTAACAGAAAACATGGTAAGTGCATATTTAGTTTTTCGTATTTAGGACAAACTATTTTTCCTGAATGGCCACACCATTTTACTTTCCAAGAACATATAAAAGACTTCCAGTTTCTCCACGATCTTGCTAGCTTCTGGTTTGCCACTATTTTTCTTTTCAGTCACTCTAACAGGAATGTAATATTATCTCATCTTAGTTTACATTTTCTTACTGAGTAGTGATGCTGGATATTTTTCCATGTGCTATTTACCATGTATATATCTTTTTTAAAAAAATGTTTTGTTTATTTAGTTTGTCCATTCTCCAAATGGATTTTTTTTTATACTGTTGAATTAAGAGTCTTAGTCTTTTGTCAGATATGTGGTTCATTTTCTCCAAGTAGAGTCTTTCTGTTCATCCGTTCAATAGGGTGTTTTGTGACAGTCAAAGCTATAATTTAACCTTCAAGAAGCCCTAGGTCTTGAGGATCTCTCCTATGTTATCTCAAAAAAGTTTTACCTTGAAATTTATGATCTACTTTGAGCAGATTTTTCTGCATGGTGTGAGTTTAGGTTAAGATTCATGTTTTTGCTTTATGGATTATCAAATTGTTTTAGTACACCTTCTTCAAATGAAACTTCAAGGACTATCTATGTGAAAAATCAATTAATCACACACAGCCTGGCATGGTGGCACACACCTGTAATTCTCGTTACTTGGGAGACTGAGGCAAGAGTTAAGTTCAAGGCCAATCTCTGCACCTCAGCAAGACCCTGTCTCCAAATACAAAACACTGGGTATGTAGCTCAATGGTAGAGCACTCCTGGGTTTGAACCCAAATATCCACCCCAAAATCAAAAAATTAGCCATACTTTAGGAAGCTATTTAGGGGCTCTCTATTTTGTTCCATCGATTCATGTTTATCTATCCCTTATCAATACCAGTTTTGATTACTGTAACTACACAATATGTTGAACTTGGGTAGAAACTATTCTTACTTATTCTTTTTAAAATTGTTTTAGTTCCTTTGCTTTTCCATACAAAGCCTAGAACAATCTTTTACTACATATAAAAAATATCTTGCTGGAATTTTGTCAGCAATTGTGTTAAGCCTGGATAACTGCCATCTGCTGGGTCTCCTGATCCATGAATCTATCATGTCTCTCCATTTATTTGCTTTGCTTTCTTCTTTGAGCAGCACTTTTAGTTTTGATTAGAAAAGTCTTGCATAATTATGCTAAATTCACACTTAAGTTAGTATTCTTTTCTTTCCTCTATTTATCACTATGTTGCTCAGACTGGTCTTGTGATCATCCTCCTTCAGCCTCTTTAGTACCTAGGATTTCAGACTTGTGCCAGTACACCCAGCAAGTTTTTCATTTTTTAATTATAAAAGGTACAATATTTCAAATTTTGATTTCTATGTGTTCACTGCCATATGACTGTAATCCCAGATACTCAGGAGGCTGAAGGGGGAAAGCTGGTAAGTTCAAGGCTAGCCTGAACAACTTAGTGAGAACCTAGCTCAAAATAAAATATGCTAGGGATGTAGCTCAGTAGTAGAGTTTGTATTAGCAATATGAGAGATCCTGGGCTATCTCCAGTATCAGGGAAAAAAAAATTATCTATAACAGACTTTTCCATGTTGTTGTCCTGCCACCTTCTTGAACTCAACCTATTTCTAGTCCAGGGTTGTGTGTGTGAGCTTCCCTGTACAATTTCTATGTAGACAATTATGCCATCTGCCACTATTTCTTCTTTTCTATTTACATGCCTTTTATTTTTCTTTCTTTCTGTAATGGAAAGTCTAGCATTATGTTGAAGACTAGTGGCTAGAGATGACATACTTGTCTTCCTCATGATCTAAAGGAGAAAATGTTCTATCTTTAAGTATGGTGTTAGATGTAGACCTTGCACAGATGGTCTTTATCAGTTGAGAAAGTCACTCAGCATTCCTAGTTTCTAGGAACATGAATATGAATAGGTGTTGGAATCTATCAAATGCTTTCCTGCATTAATTGATATAATTATGAACTTTTCTCCCTTATTCAGCCTATAAATAAGGTGGGTTTACACTGACTTTTTGAATACAGATCAAGCCCTATACACCTCTTTTTTAATTATTGAATTCTATTTGTAAATACTTTGTTAAGAACTTCTGCATCTAAGCTGGATGTGGTGGTTCACATTTGAAATCCCAACAACTTGAGAGGATGAGGCAGGAGGACTGTAAGTTCGAGGTCAGACTCAGCAACTCAATGAAACCCTCAGTAAATTAGCAAGATCCTGCCTGAAAATAAAAAGGTCTGGGAATGTAGCTCAGTATAAGGCACCACTGGTTTCAACTCCTAGTACCACCCCCCTCCAAAAAAGAACTTTTGCATCTATACTCATGAAAGTCTTCTGTTTGAAGTTTTCCTTTTTGGCCTCAGTACTACAAAACACCCAAACAAATGAAGTCCACACAGTAGTCCTTTTTGGTACTGTCTTTGGTTTTAACATCAGGGTAACATTAGCCACAAATGGGTTAGGAAGTGTTCTCTCTCACATTTCCTGGAAAAAAAAATATGTAAAACTGAGGTTAATTCTTTGTGAAACATTTAATAGAATTCTCAGTGAAACAAGTATGCCTAGAGAGTTCTTTTATGTCCATTTTAAAATTCATTCAATTTCCAGGGGCTGGGGCATAACTCAGTGTTACAGCACTTGTTTAATTCCTGGGAGGCCCTAGGTTTAATACCCAGCACCAATAAACCAACCAACCAACAAACCCATCCAATTTTCTTAATAACTTCAAGTTATCTAAATGATCAGTTTTACATGGGGCAAAGTCATGGCAGTTTGCCA